AATGGTTTATTCCAGATGTGTCCAAGTACTAATTTCATCACATTGCCATGCTTCTCTTTCTACATATGTTTTTTGGCTACCCTAGCGCAGCCTGCAAGCTTTGCCTGGGCAGATGTGCTGGTTTGTATCTAATGGCCTTATTCTGAAATTCTGATAAGCATCATCTATGCTATATTGCCTAGGCCTCGTAGGAGCCAACTCATGCAAGCACTGGAAAGATTCCCCTTGGGCTCTAAAGGCTTTGCTCTTAAAGTGCTCTGGGGTGTGTTAGACTCCTCAGGCGCCAATAAAAGCCCTTTGCATTCTCTAAGACACACCAAGGGGAATACTGTACAGTAGCTCAAATGGATACATGCCCCATGTGGACGCCACCTCATTTTTAGCAAGGCTGCTAAGTGGAAGTGGCAGTGGGTGGTTCAGTAGACATTCAGTGCTGAACTCTCCGAGACTCAGTTTGAAGACAAGAATTGAAGTAATTAGCATGTATTGTTAGAGGAATGTAATGTTGCCTCTGCTCATCTTGATTTTCATGGATCGGAGCTCTACATGGTGCCTTTGGAAAGGCTCACTTAAAAAAAAATTCCTAAGTGCCTTGAGTTATACTTCTGTGCATGGCCTGAATTGCCCCAATTGCATCATCCAGCACAGCGCAGTACCTATTGCATTCAAGAGCTTTCTCTTAGGATCTGCAACTAATCAGCCCTTCGCTTTATTTTGAAAGGGGCTCAGCCTGTTAGACTATCTCAGACAATGTCTAGCATATGCCCATAGACCCAAAGCCCTCACAAAATGCAGCAGATTGATACTGTTGTCCTTTAGAAGGCAGAAGACTCAGCTTCTTCCATTGTGGCCTTCCATGTAAACCCATGTTTCCCAGCTGCTAGGCTGCTCCCCTGCACAGAGTAAAGCTTTGCAGGGAGCTTTAAGGCCTTGATGAGCAACGAAGCCTAGTTCTTACGGCACTTAGAGGAGGGAAGAGTGACGGGGTGCAGTCCTTACTCCCAGGGCAGTTTGTACATTTTAACCAGTGATTGTTTAGTGGAAAATGACACAGCTTAAGGTGCTCAGAGGATCTTTTTGTATCCCAAATTAGTTGTTTCTTGATGAGTTGAAATCCTGGTGTGGATTTGACAGCTGGCAGAAACAGCACCCAAACCGTCATCTCCCATTTCTCCCTCATGTTTGGTTTCAGCCACGGATGTCTGAACTGCTGTTTCCACTTGACTCTGCAGATACCAGCTGGGTCATTCGCAGCTCTTAGGCAGAGTCCCCAGAAGCAGCTGCAGCTATGGGAGACTTGGCTCTCTATCACGAGGTGCCGCTCAGTGGAAGCTGTATGTACATGCAGCCTCCACCGAAGTTTCCGCCTGAAACGGGGACAGGTCTCTTGGTGGGCAATCACAAGCTGCCCTTGCTATCCAAAATGCTGGATTTCCGTCTGTGGCGGGGACCAGCTGCCTCTGTGGGGTGAGAATAACTCACACCTTCAGGGACCTGACAGTGACAGAAAGATGAGGAAGAGCTATGCTCGGCAATGATAGCTGGACGCTACTTACAGGAGGTTTGCAAAGCTTAGGGAAGCCCTACATGGGCTGAGGTGTCCCAGGCTTTGCTGCCAGTAGTCCAGCCTCTCATGTACTCAGCAGGGTTTCCCATCCCAAACAGTCTTCTGCCTCAGAGAAGCTATAACTAAACCCTGAGCTACCTTTCAGACTTCTCACATAGGCTTAGCCCTTCTGTGACTCTGTTCATTTCTTTAAAGTTCTTTCTCCTGTCAGCTTAAGAGGCTCAGCTGCTTTCTTGTCAAGTGTCAAGCTCAGGCTCCACTACAGGTATGTTAAGTTTCCTGAAGGGATGGTAACAAGACAATCTGATATGTTGGTCAGGACGAGTGATTTCTAACCCATAACAGTTTACCATCTGCTAAGTCTGACAGGACAACTGCATGACCCATCACAGAGAAGTTTATCGCCTTCAAAAGAGAAAACCCCACTTGTTTGGCAAACAAGAAAAAAAAAACCCCTAAAATCCTAAACTATAAAAACCTCTAAAAAAGAGTTCTGCTGGTGGAAACAACGGACGGTAACAGGCTTCTGTGAGTTTATTGTTCCAGTGTGAGGTTTTCAGTTGAGAATTGCCCTGAAGAGCTGCAGTAGGTAGATTTTTTCTGTGTCTTCATATGCAATTGGAAAACACCCACTTCATCTTGCTTGTGCTGTTTTATTTAAACTCAGTTGGTTTAATCCCATTGCAGTCAGGTTTATTTGATGATTCTCCATGAGCTAAGTACTGCTGGATGCTCCAGCACAATATGCTTTATGGCAAGGAGTGAAAAATACAGGAGCAGGCTGTAGCGTTAGTGGCATTCCCTGCCATCGCCCTTTTGCTCCTGTTGAGCATTGTGTTTTGCTGTGGAATAGTAACGAGGCTTCACTGACAAGAGGCGAGGCCAAGCATAACTGAGGAATCAGAAACCACTTTGACTTCATCATTATCCTTAAGCTCCACAAACTGCCCTTTGCTGATTGATGGCCTGATGCCCACACATCTCCATTCTTTTTCTGGCTCTTCCTTGCCTCACTGATTCATTCTGGGTGAAGAAGCTCCCATAAACAAAAGGCAAACATCTCAGCATTGCTTCCACATTGGGAAGTGCTATTTCAGTCACTAGGGGATCTGCTTAGAAACGAAAGCCAACTCTTAAGAACAGTATTTCAATTTCAGGCAGTCTTACCTTGTGCTGTTCTGTTGTTTCAGCTAATTTTCTGAAGAATCATTCCCTGGTTTTGTTTTCCTATTAATATCTGGGGGGAAGTCTTTATTAAGACTTATGACTGCTTGAGAACTAAATTCACGTGCATGCATACACATCACAAGACACCTAAACCGAGTCACTTTCTACACTGGCAATATGTTACCTAAGTTCCTGGAGAGGAAGAAAGAAAAATGCTACAAAATCTAGAGGCAATTGTGCTGCATTTTTTGGCTGTGGCTCAGGTTCAATGTTCAAGTAGAACATATTGAATACAGTTTAAAAAATTCAGCAGTATTCTTGTGAAAATGATCAGATATGTCTGGTGAGAAAATCAAATGGATCAGCAAATTTTCTATGAGTGAGTCTTAAAGGGAGGTGGAGAGGTCATCTGCTTATAGGCTCAGGCAATAGCTCTAGCAATGGAAACCAGGGATTTGGATGGAGATAAAGAATTGCTAATAAAGTAATTGTCCCCAGATAAAAAATTTCAAAAGTACAGATCCATATAGCTGTATCTGAGGTTAAGTAGAATGCAGCACTGGTAAGAACTGAAATAAAAGTCCTTGGGGTGTATTAGGTAAAGAACAGTCTATGCTTGCAAGTAATTTTGGCAGCTAAATGGCTCTGCTCGTTCCCTGATACCTAATGATAATGTCTTCAGTTTCACACATTGATTTTCAAACAATGCATGTCAAAATAAAGTGAGTTCCGTAGTCAAATTAGCACAGTCACAAGTTTGCTGCCTTCTCTGCACCTCATTGGAAACTCCATGCTGCTGGAGCAAGCTAATTCCCTTATCTTCAAGGTGACTGTTGGAGTGGGGCTTAGATCATTCTGCTCAGGCCATATGCATGAAGGACCAGCTGGTCGTCAGCCGTAACAACTATGATGCGGCACGGCCCATCCTCTAGCAACTGCTCCAATCGTGCTCCCTGAAAATCTCTTGAAACCTCTAAGCACTGCATTTCCATTGTCAGTAACAGACATCTCACCAAATAATCTCCTTAGTGGATTACAGACAAACACCCTCTTAGTTTTTGCAGTAATTAGTATTAAATTAAGTGTAGCTTTAGACGGGAAGAGGGTGGGAGGAAGAGCAAAGGAATTTAGTATTGGCAGAAGGTGCAGTATGGACAACCCTGGAACTGCTAATCCACGTAAATTGTGGGACAAGGTCTGCGGGATGGAGTTTCCTCCCTGCCTGTCTTGCTCCGTGGGAGACAGCGCTGGGAGGGAAGGAGAATTCAGGTATTATGACTACTGTACCTGCCACAGACTTCAGGCTCTAGTATACTGGTGTACACAGGCAGTATATTTACTAAAGACAGGCTCTTGAGGCACCCCGGCTGATCAGTTCCATGTGCCTGTTCCGTGTTTGGTAACGGAAATGTTAAAATGTAAAGGGAAACTTTCCTTATGCGGCCTAAGCCAGATACAGCTACTAAAATCTGGCACCTGTATGTATGTGTAGTCAAATGCTACAGCAGAAAGGAGCTGCTGTATGCAGTTTCATTGTGCTGAATATGAGATTACCTTGGAAAACAATATCTGTGCTAGCAGAGTGTAACCCAAATCAGTGCCAGGAGCATCTATGATGAAACACAGGCCTGGTGAGAAGCTAATATTTTTCTGTTTGTTGCTTGCTTTCCCACACTTAGGAAATACCATATGAGGAGAAAATAAAGGGTGATGTGCTAGGATAGGAAAAGGACTCCCAGACACTGTAACTTGACTGACCCAGTGTGTCAGCCCGAGGAAAAAAAGCGAGAAGCAAGAACAGCTTCTCAGGCATCTCTATCCACCTAGTCAGGCTTAGCTTCTGGGCTCTTCAAGGTCTGGCCAGCAACAGCCTAAATATTTTTCCAAAATTTTTGAGCTACTTGAAAAATGAGTGTCATTGTCTTGGTTGGGAAGCACCAGCGGGCCTGTCCTTTTACCCATGGACTGCCTGGAGAACAGAGTGGCCAAAGCCATTGAGGGCCATGAACTGTTTTCCCCGGTCTCTGCTATGATGCTGACAAGGGCTATGGCTGGCAGGGCTCTCTGTGCTTTTCGAGCAGTTGTGTAGTCATTTGCATTTATAGCTGTTTCTGACTGCAGAAGGTGCTCCCTACATTTCAAACAGCTCTCTTCTGAGGAACAGGGAATTCACCCTGCTGAGGTGGTGGTGCAGATGGGGATGACATTGCCACCATGCATATGTTTTGGTATTATTAATCATGCTCCTTTTCGGTTTTCTCCACAGATACTATGTGGGAAAGAGATCCCCCGCTGGGTGAATCGCCTGGCCTACTTCAGCTCGTGCATCCCCTTCCTCCAGAGCTGCCTCCCCAAGGAGTGGCTGACCCCAGCAGCACTGCAGAGCCACATCAGTCTCGGCCTCCACAAGGAGGAGCAGGGGGACACAACAGATGAGGAGTCCCCCTCCACCTCCACAGCCCCCGCAGCCTCAGGCACATCGCGAACCTGTAGACATACCCGGGTCTAAACTGTGCCCAGTATGCCCTCAAATAACACCCCTCTCTCTCTTGTACTATTTCTTTCTCACACCCTTTCACACACCTTGGTTTCTCTCTTCTCTTCTTCAATGGACAACACAGGGGAGGGAAGACCCTTTCTACTAAGGAGGTGAAGCTTCAGTCCCTTTTCCAAGGGCTGCCACTACAGCTGCTCGGCAAAATGACTGTGAACCCCAACGCTGAACTGAGGAGTGTGGCAACTAAACTGGATTTTCCTCCCAGAGCCCCCATGCTCCTTGATCCACGGAGAACTGCTGGCTCTCTTGGGCATGAGAGCAGGCGTACGGGCAGAGGGGCGCCATACTGTGATGTTCCTTCTCTGGAACTGTTTTATCTTTTTATCTCTTCCCCCTCCCATGTGAGCCCAGCAGCCTCCTCTCTATTTTGGCTGGGTTTGCCATTCCCCTATAACAAATCTCCTGCCCACACCCAGTGAAGGAAGCAGAGCCAGAACTCAACCTTCTCATCTCTTAGACCAGCAACAAGCTCCACTTAGCCCCATCCCTTTTGTAATTACCAGGTTTCTAACTCACGTGAAGGACAAATGAAAGGTGCTGCTGTTCTACAACCGCCAATTTTCAGTACTCAAATTTAAGAGCTCCAATGAATGTCCTGCTCTTGAAAATAACAAAGAACCTAGGAAATGAATGTGTTACCATGGCTTTTCTTTGGGGTCAAAAAGAGGATAGGGCTAGTGCTTAGAGGCAGCTACTAAGTAGGTGCAGAGATGACCGTTGACTATATTGGTGCTTTTTAGCACAGACCCGTCTCAGTTCCCCTAATTCCAGGCAGCGTTCCTGGTTTCCTTTTTTTCCCCAGATTCTCTGGGGAATCTCTCTCCTAGCTGACATTTGCTGGCTGTCTTTGGGGGAATGGCCCTCCTGAGCACAAGGAGGAGGAGGAGAGAGAATCTGTTGGGAAGGTCACTATTTCCTTCAGTTTTTCCTCCTGCACTCACAGTCCCAAAATGTGGCTCCAGAGCCATCCTTCCCCAGCCTATTTTCGAGCCAATCCAAGAACGTAAAAAATAAGTGGTGAACCCAAAGAATGTCAACCTGTTTTCTTCTCCTCCCTTTTTGGAGGTGGAGGGGGAAACTTAGGGCCACATCTGGAAAGCATGGATGACCCTTCCAATGCATGGGCCACCATGGTGCCTCCGTTGTGTGCACTATTTCAGTGGCATGAAAAATGGGCACAGCTGGCTCACTGGCCTCCCCAGGCTGGCTCTTGACAAGAATCTGTTCCTTGGATGTATTTATGCTCATTCTGAAATCTGACGAGAAAGCAGAGGAGGAGGAAAGGACATGTACACCAACTCTCCCACTCAATTACCTCACTAGGAGTTCTAGTCAGAAGATGTAGGAGAGAATCAAAGGGGAAATCCAGGCCGCCTCTCTCCCTTGCAACTCCTCTTGGCTACACAAAGAAGGATGAAAAAGGAACAGGCATAGTGTTGAGAGGGGGTTGCCACTTTAGAAATGCTGTTCTCAACAGTTACTACCAAGTCAGGACTTCCACCCTCCACCCAGAAAGAAGTACAAGCCCTTAAGATGGGTGGTTTTTCCCTTTTATTGGTCGCAATAGCATGCTAAGTCCAACCAGCTGTTTCTTTAGCTCAGGTATACAGAAGTGTGTGCTTTCAGGGCTGAAGGTCTTGGCTATGATGTACATCATGTCTGCACAGACAGCGCTTAATGGTTTGTTACATGTGCACGCTCTTAGTGAAGCAGGAGGCTTTGGAGAGATCTATTGGATGGAAATATAACTCACAGGATGGCCTCACTCCACCGGCTCCTGAAGTGATGCATGTTTGGGCAACAAAACCTTTATACCACACCTCTCATTTTCATCCTCTGAACAAATTGCTGCAAGTTCTATACTGAACTAAAGTCATGTTCCTTATTAACCTTGGCTACTCACAGCCAATACTGCATTGTGAGCAATTCTGCAGCTCCTGGTATCCAGTCCAGCACTGATCTTGATTACCCTGGCTTGTCCAGGGATGTTTAATAAGATTTCCATCCTCTTCTCCATCCTGCTGCCCAGCAACCATGTTACACAATATACTGTTGCACTCTCTATTCCCCTGCAGTCATGGTCATTGCAGCCTAAACCAGCAGTGCAAGCTTCATTTGTCTGAAGCTCCCAGGGTGCCTGCCAATAGCCAGCAGCACATTATGTGCAGTGAATTTTAAAATCTCTTTTTAGGTCCTTCTCTGGAGGAAAGTGAGAAGAGGCTTTCCCAGAGCTTTTGTCTAGGCCAGGAAAACTGCAGTCAGAAACACTGATGTGACAAAAGCCAGCCAGCCATCACCCTCGTGTTTCCGCTCTGCACCTGAGCTCCAGATAAAGCACCATGTATACATCTAGGAGAGAACTAGGGCTCCAGAGGCACGTTTCACATGGAAAACCCTCTCACAGTATTTCACAAAGTAAAAAATGCTTAACTGGCTGTATGGTAACCCCGACAAGAAAGCTACATTCAGCCTCCTGGGGGACATGAACATGTGCTTAAAGTATTGGGAACAACACCTGGGATGAGCTGTCAATGTCATAAAAGCCAGATGTTTGTTTATCTACTTTTATGTTTGTCCATTTCTTTATGACAGTAGGGGTCACATCAAGGAGGCATCAAACCTCTGTTGTAAATCAAACCAGAATATATTCCAGTCTTCAAAAGTGTTTCTCCTCACCCCTCTCTGTTCAAGGTGACCAACCAACAATGACAAGAACAAAGGGACACTGTGGAAATAAAATATGTATTGATGATAGCTTTACCTCTGTAATTTATCAGCATTTTAGATTATTAAACATTAAGACATTTTAAAAGTCTAATTTACTGTTCATCTCTGGCACAACATGTTTGTTTTAGGCACTTTTCTTATCCTTCCAATTATTACAAAATTATTGTTGTTATTATGTAATTATATCATATTTGTATTTAGTTACACATTTGCTTTCTCTTGCTGTTTTAGAGCATAACACCATGGGAAAATTTTAGATACCAACAGTTATCAATGAAAACAAAAGAGCAGCTTACGAATCTTAACAAGAGCACCCCATGGCACTGGCACAAACTCTTAACCCTTCTGCTTACTGCCAGGACTTTTGGTGCCCTTTTAAAAGTTGGAATGAGATGGCACCAACCCTGCACATGGGCATCAGCAGCTGTGGGTTATGTCTCTAGCAGAGAGCTAATAGTACTCAGGTGGGACAGTAAGACTGAAGGTGAGGTTAGCCTAATGCTGGAATATTAGAGTTACAATACAAACTGTTTCTAGGGAAAGTTAGGGTGAGAGGAAAGAAGTAAGTAATAACCTCTCTTCTCAGCACGTCCGTATCTATAATAGCAACTCTTTTAATTTCAGGAGATTATTCTTACTGATTTTTTCTTGTCAGTTGGCTTCCTCTTCCCGAGTCTGTGATTTGAGGCCTCTCTCTCTCAAGCTCTTACGAAGTTTTAAAAGGGACAGTTGTGCTTTCAGAGGTTCTGGGCGAGCTGGTACCCCAGCACTGAGCTTGTGCCCTGTGATAGTTCATCCCAGTCCCAGCACAGCGCGGGGATGGACACAGACCTGTTCTCTTGCTCTCACCACTCCCGGCTGAGAGTTCACATTTCTGGAATTCACTCCCATGTCGCTTTCGTGTTATTGAGGTACTCAGGAAGCAGTCGTTTCCTGCTATGTCGTATTTTTATTCTTCAGTTCTGTTTATTTGTCTCTAGGCTGGAGAGGCTCTCAGAACAAGTTAGTGGCCACTGGATTGCAATAATGTTAGCTTATCTTCTTATTATATGTGTTTGATTTTCTTCTCATTTCAGTTTGTGTATGTGTGGTGGCTTATTGGCATGTTCAGAAAACTTAAGTAAAGTACGTCCACCAATTCCTTGATGTGATTAATGGAGAAGACCAAAGGATGTAATCATCAGTGTTTCATTTTCAAATGGTTTTAAATTACTCTTTGAGTTGAGACAGCAGGTGCCCTGTTCTACTTTGTCCCTGCTGTGCTCACCATCAGGCAATGATTTGGGTTGTGGAAAGGCTGCGTAGTGACTCACGAAGTATTTAAAAGAGGAGCTTTCATTCTCCCAGCTCCACTCTGCCATTGCCACAGGCTACCAGAGCATGGCAGAGCCTTTGGCTACAGTAATATGTGAAAACATCGCAGCCTATGCCTGGAGAATATTTGCTCTTATCTCTAACACGTCAGCGCTCCACCATTGCGCATGTGGCTGTAGCTGAGACGTGTTTGAGTGGATGGCACGGTACATTTAATTACTAGCAGGAATTAATGACTAATGGCTCTCAATCTCAGAGTAAGAATGTCCATTAGCGCTGTTGTAGCCAGCTTTGTTTTGAAAAGGCTATAAAAATTTTTGGGGGTCCAATGTGACTGGGATAAGGGATAACAATGCAGGAAAACAGGCCGTATGATCATGGCAATCTTCTTTCCTTAGGAAAACAGGCTACAGAATGAAAGACGTGGCTAGTGGCCAGGCCTTCACAACTGCTTTAATCAATGAGCTTTGATGGAAAGGTCAAAATTACAGAAGGCAGCCCTCAGTAAAGATGTGTGTTCACCTACAAAAGCTAGTGGGGACTGCATGTGCAGCTTAACATTGTTGAGCTGGCTTGTCTCTTTTTACAAGTAAAGATTCAGCTGGCTAAGTTCTGCTCATCCACTGGGTGAATACTAACATAGCCTTCAGCTCTCACTGGAGACAGCAGAGGCTGCCTGTGTTTCTCTCCAGTGGTGCCCTCCACGCTTACCAATCCTGAATGACAATGTTTCCTGCTATTTCAGCCCTGCTCTCCCTCGCACCCTGCCAAGATATCCCAGGTGTAAGCTGCAGAAGCTCTTAGTCTCTCCATGCCACTTGCTTTCCTGAAATGTCCCTGACCTCAGTCCTGCAGGCTGGCTTTTCCGATGTGTGGAGGGAGGTGAAATCCCTAGCTCTGTTGAGATTCAGTGAACTAGTCAGTCATTTGTACTAGTCATCATTTGATCACGATTTTGCAAAGTGGCGGATTTTTGCCTTTGAGGTCCACTTTACCCAAGCCAAGTCCTTTTATCTGATACCCCACAGAAGCACAAATGGAAGTTCAGAACACAGAAAAATGTTAGAAATCTGAGTTAAGACCTCTCACTTGAAAGTCTTTGTAAAATGCTCAGCACAAAACAGATAGGTATGCTTAGTGAGGCTAATAACCCTACATAGGTGAAATACATCTCTATTGCTGGAAGTCCTTACAAAATAGGTATATGCAGTGCTAAATCTTCTCTAGGCTCCAGACTGCATTACCTAGAGCTCCTCAAGCAAGAAAGGGCAATTGTCACCTTGCTGACAGGTGGAATAGCACTCGCTTCACTGCTGGGAATGCTGTAGCAGCTATTGATGCTCGCATGGATTTTTCTTCATTATGCACAGCATGAGCCTTCATTTCTTCAAACTATTCACTGCAGGCTTTTCCTCTGTCTGCTGGAATGGATTTGTCCGGGGAAACATGTTCTTCTTTCACCTTTGAGGTTCTTGAAGGGAACTTCTCCTGAGCAACTTCCTGTGGCAAACCACCCGGCCACATGTTAGCACTGAGCTCCTCATCAGCCTCAGGGTTATCTTAAGAGTCTTCTTCTCTGTAG